ACCAATCTTTTTTTAAGTGAGGAAATGCATAGAGATTACTAAATCTATCTATTAATCTGTTCTCCCAATCCAGACGCATTTCCTGGATCAATCTACTGTCTATGTTCACACAGTATTCAGCTCCATGAAGACATTGGCGTAAAACCTTCTAACAGGGAGAGACATTTCAGAGCATGTGTTGTGCCCCAGGATGCCAGGAGGCCAGTCCACCGGGGTGACTGCTTTGGGTAAGCTGAAAACCAATGTGATGTTTCAGAGCCTGGGTTCTCTTTCTCTCCCTCTGACCTTGGTCTGCCATTTCACCTGAATCTCTCCTTTCCCAAAATACTTAATCACTGATGACGTTGTGAAAAGGAGGAAGCTAGTTGACCAGGTTTGATTCCGACAGGAATAGATTCCTGATTACTTCACTCAAGTCCCCGGGTTGCCACCAGCTGCCTCCCAGGGCTGCCCAGCCAATCCTGAAAGTCTCAGGGACCTGCCTCTAACCGGTTAACAGCCCCCAGCGCCATCCAGCTGCCGTGGACTCTGGCCTGCGGGGCCCCCGGGGGTGCGAGAACCAGCACAGCGCCAGGATCTGGGTGGTCACTCGCAGCCTGCGCAGAATGACCTCGAGTTGGACACCTGAGATTAGGGCCACTGTGACTCTGGAACCCTCCCCGCAGATGAGCAAATGAGCGAGGAAGGTGCGCAGACTGCGAACACGAACTCAGGCGACTCTGACCTCGAGCTGGTTCAAAATCGGGAGAGGGGACAAAGGTCGGTCCAAACTGCTCTTTATGCACTTACTGTCAGTAGACAGCACGGGCGCGCACGGGCGCGCACGCGCATAGACACCACTGGCCTCATTTGTTGACGCTTCAGTTCCTTTTGTCTGATGGTTTGGTTAATGAGTCAAGACTGCATTCACCCCTGCTCCCACAGTCACTACCATCACCAGCAGATCTAATGATCCCTGCAAACGCTAACTATTCCGGCATTCTATCACTCCCTGCAGTTTTCTATTCCATTTCTTACAGAGGTGATTTTAACAATACACGGAGACTTCGCTACCTCTCAATCCTAAACTTGGAGCCCAGGTGGGAATCAGGGTAAGAATTCTCAGTAGAAACCAAGTGATAACATGCATTTCAAAGACTCCCTAGAAGCATTAAAATGACTGCTAGTCACCGGGATGGGAGCTGACACGTAAGACAGTTACAGCATAAAATCTAGGAACTTGTCAGCCAAAGAGAGAAGGTGATTGCTATTCATTTTTTGGAAAGCTGTTTTTGGGGAGGAGGCCAAACAACTAAATAGGTCATGAATAATGTTAATATATTAAATTAATACTGGTACACTTTGCTTAGACATAGAACTTAATCCATCGTATTTTTATCTGAACTTAAACTACACTGGAGCAACACCTGACCAGCATCTAGTTTCACAGGCATTTGGCAAAATCTAAATATTGGATTGGCCCATCTTTTCCTGACACTAAGTGCAATGTTGACAGATAGAACTACTACTTTCATTGACTTGCAATTCCCATGACCTTAACTCTCCAAATTGCATTTCAGACACCACCAGCTTTTAAGGATGAAGATGTAAACCATGTTTATAGGTTCTTCTTGGCTTGGTAGCAATAAAAATAATAGGTAGCAATTTACTATTAACATATTTAAAGACTAGCTTTTTCAAATTTGAGACTATTTGGGCAATCTTAGTAAAAAAAACATATTTAAATATTAGATAAGAGGGATGGGTCAGACAAAAAACCTGCTGGTAATTCATTAGGTTTACGCCTACCGATAGATACATGCAAAGCTGGAGAGTGGAACATTTTTAGATGCCTACTACAATTTAAGTTATGTTGATTCTTCATGAACATTAGCTGAGGATGATATCTAATAAGTCTTCAAAAATCATACTCCACAGACTGAGTTTGATAAAAATCGACAGGTTAAATTCCTTTCCCTGTGAATCTAGTATTCCGTCTACGGTCTCACAAAAGTGGATACAGTAATTGGTAACTCGATAAATCAGCTCCCCAACACTTCTCCTAGGCATACCTTTGCTCATTGTTGCAATAAAGAATGTGGGAACAAAAGCGGAGAGTCCCACAGCGAACATTCTTAAACGTGTTTGTGGATTGGAATAATAAACATCAATAAAATTTGCAATATAAAAATATGACATTTCTATAGTAATTACTGTTCATGTAATGGCTTACATTTTTTTTTTATTTGCTAGCAAATCTTATAAAGGCTACCAATCAACTTAGAGTCACAGGCTTCCCTGGTTCCCCTCCCTCCAGAAATTCATTCATACTAATTTTTATTGCTTTAATAAAGTGCCATGTCACCATGTACCAGGGTGATCAGAAACAATGTAGAAAAAGAAGACCGAGCATGACCTGGACAGAGGAATAGCTGACTTTGTGCTATAAAATAAAGGCTAGGGATGCACCCAAATATAGGTTACACCTGGAGGTATAACATGGACAGCATATCAAGAATACTGTGAAAAAATCAATAGTCAGACCAAAAATTCCATTTAAAAAAATTTGTCCAGCGAATATTCAGCTCACCTCTCCCTCTTTTTTTCTTTGTCTTACATACATGTGTATATAAGAAAAAGAACATGGACATCTGTGTGGAAACCAGGTGAATAACATGGATTTTATAAATGAATCTCTTGAGGAGCATTAAAATATCTGATAGTGGCAGGGATGGAAACTACTTGGACAAATAAGTTGACAAATAGGACCGTTATAGCATTAAAAAACCATAAGCTCACCAGCGGAAGAGAGAAGGTGACTGCTGTTATTTTGGGGGGATGTTCCCCTTACATACGTGTGTTTAGGATAAAGAGCACCCACCCTGCACATCCAGTGAAGAACACCCATTCTTCTAGAACATGGCCGAATTGCTAAAATAGTCTACATTGTGTTTGTGGGTTTTTCTTTTTCTTTTTATAGGAGAAAACCCGGATTTCAAATCTGAAGTCCTGGCATTTGAGACAATGTCAAAGCCTTGCCTCTTTGGCTCAATAACCACACGGGATGATTATTAAAGGTTCTGACCAGTATCAGGCCAAGAAAATTACCAGCACTACAATGGTATTCAGGCTTTTGTTTGGATCATGCCTTTTAAGCCTTCGTTTCTATATTTCTTTTCTTTCTCCATTTTGGGTCCCTTCTACTGGCCTCTGCTGACAAATGTTTGCTTCTACACCAGTGGTTAATTTCTGGGGCCAAATAAGCCAAATCTGACGATTTGTACTCAGATAACGTTTCTGATATAATCCGTTTCAGAAGCATGAACACTAATAGTTGAAGGTGCTTTAGATTTAAAACATTCTACTACTATTTTTAAATGATGAAGATAACTTTGCAATTTTGAAAATAGCAGTCATTCCATAATCAGAAAACATTTTTTATAGAAAACACATGGTAAACCAAAAAGCTTTATTAGTTCTGATTGGACAATACCTGTTTTAATGGCATATTTTAGAGCTGTTTGGCAATGCATCAAAATTTCCTCCAAATTTTGTGGTTGGTCTGCCAATTCCCAATTATACTCTTGAAGAAGCTCATTCGGATAGTGGAAATCAATCACTTTGGTGGATCTATCGAAACTTTTCACCACATACTGAAGCAAAATGTCCACAACATCTTGCAGGAATGTCAAAGTGGGCCTTTCTCCATCACACGCTGGCAGCAGGTCTAAAGGATAAAATTAAAATTGCACATTAAAAGGCCACATTTCTATTTTACTGTGAAAACAGACAAGACCTCGATCAGGCAGTCTTCTTTGGAACTGAATGATATTTACGCCAGAAAAAAAGTTTTTGAAAAGGCAAAGTGTTTCTTTAAAGGGTGGTATTTCTCAAGGAGGAAGGAAATGAATGAGAGAAATTATGTTTCTCTTTTTTCCTCAAATGAATTCTTGTATAATTTGTTTTCTTTTCTTTCCTTCTTTCTTTATTTTAAGAGCGAGTACTTCCGTGCAGCTATTTGACAGGAGTTCGTCCTGTTCGTGGTTTCTCAGAAAATCGTCTTAAATGTCTAAGGAAATACTTTACGTCAGAAATGTTTGAAGGACGCCTTCAGGCAAAACCAGGCAAGTGGAAAATGCAGCGCTAGGCTCTCTGGCCTATTAGGAAGGCTCGCTGTTTACAAAGTCCGTGTATGTGTGTGTGTGTGTGTGTGTGTGTGTGTGTACGCAGGCGCGTTTGGAACACCAGGTGCGTGTGTAAACGTAGAGGTAAAACTTCACCCGCTGTATGATGTGAATAGAATCGTTCTCCTCTGAAACTGCAGTTACAAATTACTTTTGAGCTCTAATGTAAAGACCTAAAAAAAAAAAAAAAAAAAATCCCTGGGTTTTTTTTTCCGACTTCTCTAGCCAGTATCTGGAAGCCGAGACCCACCTGAGGCGTCGGCAACACTGGGAAGCCCACACCAGGAAAAGGGCAGAGCGGCCCCCAGAACCCTCTTGGAGCGCAGGGCCGGGATCTGGGCTGGTGCGCAGAGGGTGGACCCAGTTTCTAGCTTTCATCTGCAAATTCTTCTAGCCGCAAGCTCAGCCCTCCAACTCGACGCCTCGGGGCAGGCTCCGGGATCCTGGCCCTCCAGGCCTTGGCGGGAGGGTCAGAGCTAGCAGCAGGGACTCCCCGGGGCCCCGCGAGGCGCGTTACCTGTTGCGTGCAGAAGCGCGTAGTTGACGTCCGCTTTGGGGCAGCTGCAGGGTTTCTGGTTGCAGGCGCAGGCGGTCTTCCTGGCGGCGGTCCGCTGGGGCTCG